CTTGATTTCTGTGGCTGCATGCTTGGCTCAGGGGCCTGTTCTCTCTTTCCTTCCTTTGGTGCTAAACTTCCTTAGTCGAACATCATTGCCTGGCTGCGGAAAGCTCTAGAAACAGACAAGAAAGACTGGGTAAAAGAGACGGAGCCAGAAGCCGACCAAGACGGGTACTACCAGACGACGCTCCCGGCCATCGTCTTCCAGGTACCCCCCGCACGGCTCCCAAGTTCACGTCTGGGCTCGGCGGTCGGGTCTGCGGTTTTTACAGACGCGCAGGCACCTCGGTTCGTAGTGAAGACAGCACGCCTGCCCGGTGCCCTGCACCGCTCCCACTGGAGCTTGGGAGGCAAAGGGTCCACCTGCCATGTCGTTTTGCCCAGTGTCACTTTAGTTTTCCTAATTCTTTTGAATTTGAACTGTGACCTAATTCTGTGCTATTTTGTGACGCTCTTGCTTGAGTTAACTTATTTGAAGTTTCCTGCTGCGAATGGCCAAGATGTGTCTTTGTAAATGCCACAAAACGGAGTCTAACCTGACGGATTTAAGGGAGACTCCTTTAGATTTTGGTGGCAATCACGCGTTCTCATGGTTAATTCACTCCTTAACGCCCGGCCTCCTGCCGGTGGCCCCCAGCCCCCTTCTTTTTCTCTGGCCCATGTTCTTTTCTCCCTTTGACAGTAGGAGAGCTGAGTCCTGGTGGAATATTCGTGTGGCACTTGTCTGGCACTCTGGCTGGCAGCACTGAGCGCTGGTGGCTTTTCCCTGGGTGACACCCATTAGTTAGCCACAGACTGGTCCTCACCCTGTCTTTTCCTTTGGAAACTAACATCATGACAGCCTGGCTTCGACAGGGACCTGGGGCAAGGTCCGCCTGCTGGCCCTTCTCCTCAGCTCCAGTGTGGGTCCTGATTCCTCTTAAGAAACCCACGTCACAGATCATGGCGCAGCCCCTGGCACCCAGGCCGCCTCCCCGGGCTCCATCTCCCTGTCAGCACCCCGTCGTAGAGACCTGCCCGTTGGCAGGAAGTTAGGAATCAAGTCACATGTTTTTATCTGGTGAGGATGTTGCTTAAGTAACTTTATCTCTTAGGTGGCTTCATTTTTTTTCTCTGAATTTGAGTTGCCCTAACAACCAGCTAGCAGGGGCTTTGAGTGAGTCTGTCACTTCATAAGTTCTTTAATTTTTAGATGTTCGAACAGAATCTTCAAGTTGCTGCTCAGATAAGTGAAGATTTGAAAACAAAGGTGCTCGTTTTGTGTCTTCAGCAAATGAATTCCTTCTTAAGTAGGTATGTATTTGTCACTGTACGAATTTAGAAAGTTTATTTTTCTAAAAATTAAAAGCAAAAATGTGTCGACCCTAACGTGCCTGACCAAAAAGAGCGGGGAGCTGGGACCAGGCACCGCCGTCTTCTGTTCAAAGCGCAGACTTGGTCTCCGTGTCCTCTGGTGGGTCACAGTGACTCCCCGGGAGCCCGCGGTGCAGCAGAAGCGGCTCCTCAGGCACCCGTCCTCCGTCATCTGATTCCCAGGGCGGGGGCGGCTCCCATTGCAGAGGCACTGTCTGGACCAGGGGCTTGGGGACTGTCTCCAGGACACCTCCCTCTCCTGGAATTATTCACGAGGGGCATTTGCTGACCTGTGCAGGAGTCGAAAGAATAACACCAAAATGTTGTCATCCAGGTCCAAGAGCTGTCCCTTTAAAGCCACCCCTGCCCCATTGGTCTCCCTCTCTCTCTGCTGAAGTAACTTGAAGAAAATCGCAGATGCTGTGGCGTTTCCCCTGCATTCTCCACCCGAACTCCGGTGCCATCAGCCCGCTCCCTGGCCCTCCTGACACCAGCTTGTACCGGGTTTTCCCAGGGGTCGCAGACACGTCTCTATCGTGTGCGGCCCTTGGGGTTCTCAGGTCTCGTACCAGAGAGCAGCCCCTTCCCCTCTTTGAGCCATCAGCTTGTGGAGATGCACAGGTCATCCTGTGGGGTGACCAGCATTCTCTAGCCAGTTCTCAGAGCGCCATCTGCTCCCAAACCACAAGTGGGCTCTAGAGGCTGTGGGTCCCCTGTATATGCCCCCCGTTTGGCAAGAACCCTACCTCAGTGGTGTGCGGGCTCCCCACGGCAGCACCCTGGGAGATGCGCGTTCCTCTGCCCTACGCTGGGGGCTCGTGCCAGCAGTCAGGCCCCTCACTCAGAGCCCCTGCTAGCCATCCGTCTTGGGGTCACAGCCTGAGTTAGTCATTTTGTTAAAGGGATGAGGATTTTCCTGTAAAGAGGAAGTTTTCCTCACCTGTGCACCTGTTCGGTTACCTGGCCCGCACTTTGGACAGAAAGGTAGAACAGGTGCTGAATCATGTCCCTTTAATTGCGAATTCTCGGTGCGGTTTTTTTTATAACGTTTATTAGTTTCAGGTTTACAGTGCATGGGTTAGACGTTTCTGTAGTTTATGAAACGATCCCCCCCGATCGCGCTCTCGCCTCTGGCCCTCCACCCGGCCATCACGTTACTGCCGACCGTGTTCCCTGTGCCGGGCTCCCCATCCCCGTGACCATCTGTCAGCTACTTATTTGTACTTTAACCCGTCACTCCATTCTCCCTGTCCCCCAACCCCCCTCTTTCTGTCACCAGACTGTTCTCTATATTTGTGTCTAATTTGATTAGTTCGTTCTTTTTGTTCCTTAGATTCCGCATATAGGTGAAATCATATGGTATTTACCTTTCTCTGTCTGACGTATTTCACTCAGCATAGTAGCTTCTAGCTCCATCCACGTCGTTGTGATTGGTAGGATTTCATGTTTCTAATGGATGAGTAGAATTTCGTTGTGTATGTGAACTGTAACTTCTTTGCCCCATCGTCTAGGTTGCTCCGTATCTCGGCTGCTGTGAACTGTGCTGCCGTTCACACGGGGTGCACAGGTCTTTACAGCCACACAGGGCGCCTGGATCTGTACAGTGTGCTCCTTTCTTAAGACCTGTAGAGCACATGCTGTTACAGTCCCATGTGCATTTGAGACTACGAAATAAGTTAAAGAATACAGCATGTGGTCATCCCCGTTCATTTTCATGACGTCTAAAGAGTCTAATTTATTTTTACTTTGATTGCTTCAGGGAGAGTCTCAGAATCAGACGTTTTGCCTAATGTGATAGTGTTCTCTGTAGCATTGTCTGGGTTTCCAGGCAAATTGTGTCAGATAAAATCAGATAACTTCTGCAGTTGCTCACAAGCACGCGTTTCAGAATATTTGTATGATCAGAATACTGAACCGTATTTTAAAGCACGATATGAAATTAATTTTTAATAGTCCAGTTAAGACGAGCACCCTCTGCTTTTCTGCTTGTATGGAGCTTCCAAAAAATTTATTTTTAAAGACGAGTCCTGCCGAGTGTTAGCGATGTGAAACTTACCTGTTAGGTGTGGGGTCCCGTGGCGTTTGGAGCGTCTCCTGGTCACTTTCTGACAGTGTTCTGTGGGCGTGTCCTCAGGTACAGAGACGAAGCCCAGCTGTACAAGGAGGAGCACCTGAGGGACCGGCAGCGCCCACACTGCTACGTGCAGTACATGGTCGCCATCATCAACAACTGCCAGACCTTCAAGTATGTGGCCTTCAGGTTGCGGACAAGGACAGGCGCGTGGAGACACTCGGCTGCCTCACTGAGCCTCGGCTGTTCCCTTGCAGAGAATCCATCGTCAGTTTAAAGCGGAAGTATTTAAGAAGCGCAGGCGAAGACGGCGTGTCCGTGAGCCAGCCGAGCATGGACGGCGTCCTGGATGCCATCGCCGACGAGGGCTGCCGCAGCCTGCTGGAGGAGGTCTTCCTGGACCTGGAGGTGGGGCCCCGACCGCGGTCCTGCCTGCGCCCGGGGTCGCGGCGCCCGCACTGGGCTTCGCTGTGGCGCGGGCGCAGGCGCTGGTCCCTCTGCCGCGTGACCGAGTCAGTGTCAGTGGACTGCGAAGTAGAACCGAGTGTGCTGGAGGGGGACGGTCACGTCCCTTAGCAGAGTCTGGATACCAGAGCAAACCGAGGACACGGGCTCGGCGCCTCCACGTCACGTAGGCCTGCTCAGTTTAAAAGTAGACGCAAAGCAAAGCCATCAGCAGAACGCGGTGAGCTGGTCTCGAAAGCCTGACGCACCGCAGGCAAGTGAGGCTTCAAAACACGAAAGTGGTTCCGCGTAACGTTGGCAGAAACCAGACTATGTTTAGAAAATAAAAGCGCGGTCACCTCGAGTCCCCTGGAAAGGCGCGCCCGAGGTGACGCGTGGGGTCATTTCACGATGTCTGACTTTCTCAAAAATGGCTTAGAGCACAAATGAAATGTGTGCGTTTGAAATTATTTCAAAGTCCAGAAAAAGACGATATAATAGAAAAGCAAAAGATGTGAATAACCATTTTTCAGAGAAAAGGTTACAAGTGTCCTAAGTATGAAACGAAATGCTCAGTCTTCCGCTCTTTGCAGAAATTTCAGAGCAGCGCTGCCCGCTGCTGAGCGGGGCGGCACGGGGCACACCGTAGCCGAGGGCGCGCGGGGGCCCTGCACCTGCGCCCTCTGGGGCCGTGGGCGGCGCAGGCCTCGGAGGGCAGTTTGGAGCCGGGAACTGAGGTTTTATTTGGATACTTTTTGAGTAATTCCAGTTTTAGCAATTTCATTTACAGAAATGTAGGGATTCACTACTGCATTATGCTTGTAGAAGACGAAAAAATTTAAATGTTCGTCAAAATTGGGTAAATAAAGTCTGTATGAAAACGCACGCAGTCACTGAAGGTGCACCCCTGGACACGTGCACACGCCACCGCTCACGGGCCGGAGCAGTGGTGGCAGTACGTGCTGTCACAGCAGCGCGTCCGTCAGATGTGCAGTGCCTCCCTCCCGGTGCGTGCGACTTGGGGACAGTGTCGCGGTGATGCTTACTGTGGTCTGTGCTTTTCAGCAACATCTCAGTGAGCTGATGACAAAAAAGTGGCTGTCGGGATCGAAGGCTGTAGACATCATCTGCGTCACCGTGGAAGACTATTTCAATGATTTTGCCAAAATCAAAAAGCCATATAAAAAGGTAAGAGTGAGGGGTACAGTCACGTCATGTGAGCTCACCTGTGTGCTGGAGCCCACGTGGCATCTTGTGTCAAATCAGTTCTGTGCATGGGAGTTCACAGGAGGTGTCGCTAACCCAAGGCTGGGGGCAGAAGAGACAGGGCTTCTGGGTGAAGATGGAGCCCCTGCACCTAACTTCACTGCCCCCTGACTGCCCGCTAAGCCCTCGCCGTGGGTGTGGGGCCTTGTGAGAGGACCGGAGAAGGGCGGTCCCCACTCTAGACCCCCGCCAGGGCGTCTGCGGGCTGCTGGCCTCCTTCCTCCTTCCTCCGCACAGGCCCCATGGGAACAGGGAGCCCCGGTGTCACTCGCTGTCAGTCTCCTCCATGCCTGTGAGACGCCACCACGGCCTCACCTGGGGCTTAGGCGTCTTTCTCAGACGTACTCAGGGCTTTGTGTAGATTTTGCTGTTGTTGCTATTGACACTTATTTCGTAAAATCAGGCTTTTTAATGTAACTGGTTTTGATAAGTTGACCTGATATCCAGACGCTTTCTAACGCTTTCTGGTTTTTCCATGGACAAGCTTTTCAGGTCTCTCCGCAGATAGGTGCATCTATGGACAGGGACGTGTGAATTTTTGTTTCTGGTCCTTCCAGCGATTAGGTTGTCCCCCCGTTTTGCCGCACTGGATCCTCAGTCTTGTCTGGGCTCCTTGTCTAATTCCTCTCACGCTGCCTTGGGAAGTGGTGCTCGCAGCGAGTCCCGGGTGTCTTCAACCCACCCGGCTGACTGACGCCTCCCTTCACAGCCACCAGGAGCCTCCAGTGCCTAGAGGTCGGCGGGGCCAGCTCCAGTCAAGTTTGAATTTCTTGTCGCTTGCCCAGTTTTTGGTTCCACTTCTTTTCTTTAAACGTTTTGCATGCTGACTTAGTTGTCGGGGTCTGGGTGCCACGTATGGAGTCCTGGCGCCGGGGGCTTGTCGTCTCAGCCGACGCCCCGTCTTCGTGGCTTGTGCCCTGGTGCCAGTGAACACGTTTGTCCCCGAGCCAGAGCGCGCACAGCACACAGGTCTCCGCCCCTGGTCGTGGCCCCACGCGGCTGCCGGGTGCCGTCTTCCTGCTTGGGGCCCTTGGGGCTCCTCGAGCAGACGCAACCCCTATTGGCCTGGGCTGCCACGGTGCCCGTCAGGTCCTCACAGCTTTATTTACGTGTCGTGGTGGTTGCCCGGTGCCATCTCCCTCTGTTGTGCTCACGTGTGGAGAGAACCGTGGCCTCTTCTGCCGTGTCCCCAGATGTGCGGACTCGGTTCCTCTTTCCCCTGAAGCTCGGTCACCATTTCCGTAGACTGGCAGTTAAACAGCCTCCTGTGGACACGGGGCAGTGTGTGTGCTTCATGCATGACAGTCCTGTGCCAGCTGGGCCGGGTCCCCAGTCCCAACCAAACGCATGCTCCGCGCAGGGTGAAGTGCTTGGAGATGCGTGGGAGGGGACAGCGTGAGGGGTGGCGGGCCCGAGTCACCGCGGGGGGCGGCGTGAGCCCCTGGGATGGGGTCTCCAGACAGCGAAGCCGGCGCCGTGCCAGCCCCCCTGGCAGGAAGTGCCCTGTGGCAGCGTCTGCTGCTGGCAGGACACGGCGCGTGGGGGGCGGGCAGGCGCCCCATTCGGGCGACTCCACGCCATTCTCTTCCCTGAAGCGTCGGTTGCAGTGGGCGCCCGCTGCTCGTGGCTCCTGCCCTGCTGCCACCGTGTCCGTGTGACTTTCTCGTCGTGCCGAGTTCCCGGTGAGCGCAGTGAGCTGGTCGTGACTCGGTAGTGGCTGGCGTGCTCTCCGCTCCACGTGCTTGGGCCGCCGTCCGTAGCGCCGAGGTGGGAGGGACGCTCTGCCCTGCTCACGGTGACCCGCAGGACCGGGCTGTAGGCGGGCGCCGACTGTCTGTCCCCACAGAGGCTGACGGCCGAGGCGCACCGGCGCGTGGTGGTGGAGTACCTGCGGGCCGTCATGGCGAAGCGCATCTCCTTCCGGAGCCCCGAGGAGCGCAAGGAGGGCGCCGAGCGGATGGTCAGGGAGGCTGAGCAGCTCCGCTTCCTGTTCCGGAAGCTGGCTTCCGTGAGTGCCGGTGCGGGGCGCCGTCACGGGGCACGTCGCTCTGCAGTGCTTCCTCAGTGTCCACCCCGGGGACTGCGGAGGCCCCTCGTTCAGCGTCAGTCATTTTGGGCAGCGGTGACCGCTGGGTCCCGTCCTCGCGGGCTGCAGGGCGTGTGCGCAGATCTGCCTGCCCGGTGGCTGGGGCGCGTGTACTCAGGGCAGTTGCTCCTGGAACTCCGGTGGCAGCACGTGGCCAGATTTTAGCTCCATGACACGGCGCTCACGCATCCCCTCTCGTGGGAGGTGGGAGGCCACTGCATCTGTGCCGGGGGCTCACAGGAACAGCCGTGGGAGATCTCTCGGTGCTTATGTGGGCGGGGAGGGTGCCAGGCTGGCCAGAGAGGGGTGACAGGTCCAGCTTGTGGCCGCGGACGCTGGTGCTGCTGACCGCCTGCTCGCTCCCTTCCAGGGGCTCGGCGAAGAGGCGGATGGGTACTGCGACACGATCACGGCCGTCGCAGAGGTGATAAAGCTGACGGACCCGTCCCTGCTGTACCTGGAGGTCTCGACTCTGGTCAGCAAGTACCCGGACATCAGGTAAGGGCAGAGCAGCAGGCTCTTCTGGGGTCCTGGGCGTTAGGCGTGACCCTGCGGGGTGACTGTATAGTGGGTCTGGGCACCTTCGAGGACGAGTTGTGCCGACAACAGCTGCGAGCAGGGGGCTTCTGAGCGTGAAAGTGGATGCGCCTGTCTCCTGCGCCTGCGCTTGCCTGGGTCGTGCACCCCGGGCTCGGAGCGTGGGCGGGCCAGGCGGCATCACGTGAGGCCTGGGAAGGGGGCCGAGCAGCCTGTTGTCAGGGGCTTGTGCTGTGCTTGTGGCGGATTCAAAGGAAGCGTGTTTCACGCTCAGCCAGGATGCCCTCCAGCCTGCATGAGGGACGGGGCCCCGGTTCCCTGCCACCTCGGCCTGCGTCCCCTCTTCGTGCTGTGGCTCGGACAGGCTGCAGAGGGCGGGGCCTTGCTCCCGGTGCACAGTGGCCGCAGAGGCTGAGGGATGCTGCCCGTGTGGACTCAGTGACTGTGGTCTAGACACCGCCGCAGTGATGGGGAAGCTCAGGCGTCTGTTGCTCTGCTGTGACTCGGGGTCATGCCTTCCACCTGCACTGTTGATCCGTTCTCATGCTGGGAAGGGGGCTCAAGTCGGTTTCTGGGGTGGCGGTGGTTGCGGTGCACCCCACACCCCCTGCCGTCTCCCCTCCCAGGGACGAGCACATCGGCGCGCTGCTTGCCATGCGAGGGGACGCCAGTCGGGACATGAAGCAGACCATCATCGAGACGCTGGAGCAGGGCACCACACAGGCGAGTCCGAACTACGTGCCCATCTTCAGGGACATTACGGTCCACAGTCTGAACGTCACCAAGCTCCTCAAATAACTTGTCTCGCCCCGAGTCTGCCCCACCCTCAGCAGTGCGTGACTCTGGAGGCCCAGCGCTCTGGTGGCAGGCCCTGGCCCTGGCCCTGGCCCCCCCCCGGGTCAAGAACGACGTTGCGAGCAGACCCAGGTGCCTGTGCCCCGCGCGCGTCGGCGCTTGTGTAGCTGCTGCTCAATAAAGGCACCGTGGAGCGAGGGCGTGTGCGAGCTTGCTTACCGGGCCGTCGCTCGGCGCCCTGCGGGGTCCCCCTGGTGTCCCTGTGGCCCACTGCTCCCCACCCGCCCAGGCAGTAGCCACCGGTGCACAGACGTGGGCCGTAGCACGGAGAGGTGGGAAAACGGGCCTCTGCAGCCGACCTGGGAGAGGAGGCAGGGCCCTCATCCGACATGACATGACGGTGATCTTACGAGATGAGGTGACGCCTGGGAGAGCGCACAGCTGGGAGGAGCCTGCAGAGTGCCGAGGGCACGGCCCAGCCCACTCTGGGTCTCTGACTCCCCGCCGTGTAGGTCTGCCGTTTTGAGCCACCAGTTTGTGGCGCTTCCTACGGCAGCCCCAGGAAACTCAGCCAAAGTGGCGGGGCAGACTCCTCGTAAACGGTATCTATGCGCTTTTTTATAATAAACATTCAACATTTTAACTATTAAAGTAAAAGGTGCGACACCAGATTTTCAAGGATGACCGGCTGGAGATCGTTCCCTGGACACCCCGTGTGGCTCCACCCAGGGAGGGGGCAGACCCATCTGGAGGGCAGGATCCATTGGGACATTTAGAGGCAGAAACGGCTCCATTTCCGCTTCATCATGACCCTGGAAAGACCTCCTTGTTCACCTAGGCTCTGTCCCTCATTGTCTCCACCCAGCTCTTGTTTCAGCCCCAGGCCCACCACCTGGATGTTTCGGTGCTTCGTCCTCCCACTCAGGCCGAGTGGGCATTGGTCCCACCCTTCCTGGGGCCTGTCCTCGGTGTGCAGTGACAGGTCTGAGTGAGTGGTAGGTGTCCGTCGGTCTCTGCCAGGGAGGGACCAATTGCCAAGACCCTGTCTGTGCCCATAGCTGTGCAGCTGTGTGTCCAGTGACCTCGCACTGGGCAGAAGGCCCACCTCTTTTTTCATATCTCTCTCTCTTCTCTCTCTCTCTCTCACACACACACACACACACACACACACATACACACACACACCACATCTTTGGCATTAATCTCAGCACCAAAGCAACAACACACACACACACACACACACACCCCACATCTTTGGCGTTAATCTCAGCACCAAAGCAACGTTTGCCTTGAGGAAACTGCTCCTCACATTCTCTTTGTTAAGATTTCTCTTTGATAAAAAAGTTTGCACCAAAAAATGCCTTGAAACATTTTTAATAGACTTGATCAGGCAACCGTGCAGGGTCCATGATTGGCCCCCTGCCCAGGCACTGCCAACAGCACATTGGGAGAACTTTAAGGCACATCAATTGTGATTCAGGTTACATAAAGTTTGATTAAGATCACGTTCACAAAATTAAATGCACAATTTTCTCCACTCAGAACACATTTCAATTCCAGTTTCAATAAAATTCTCTTAAATTGTTTTTCACAATAGAACATCGGTAGTGCATAGTATGTGAGCACTGTGACAAATTTTCAAGACATGGAAGTGAGAAATAGCGACTCCTAAATTTGTGTGCTTTGTAGTCTACCTCAGAGTAGGCCAAAGTTCAGTATTAAATAAATAAGCATTCTTTGCTAATAAAAATTTACAACCGTTTTCCTAAGGAAATACATTCATAAGACTTTGTTTACATTGTGTTTTACAATGACAAGAATGGCGAGGATTCTCGTTTATGAAATGTATCCACAGTACTAGGGTTTATAAGTGTCGACAGACTGAGTTCTCTCGAGCACTGAAATGTGAGTTTGGGGTCCTGAGGTTTCATGCTGGACCTTCGGTTCCATTATGGCTGTGCTTACTCTATGCAGTTCACCAAACAAAATCCTCCCGCCCACCGCAGAAACGGCTGACGGCCTCGTCCAGGAGACATTTGTCAAATGGATTCACCACCTGGCAGTTCAGTGTGGCGAGGGGGGCGTCCGGGAGCGGCTTTGCCCGACTCGGCCTCTGGGCCTGCAGCCGGGAATCGGATCGGGCCCCGCAGTCCGGGTGAGTGGTTAAGGCAGCTGGAGATGCAGACCACTCTGCGCGCCCCCCTGCGGGACCGATGAGCTGCCTCCCTACAGACCACCGACTGGCAGGTGACATTGTGCATATCACGGCTGGGTTTTGTGCTCTCAGAGATGACTGAAATGGTTGCAAAGTGTGGGGAACAACCCCTGAACACCAGCCGCCTCCCTCTGTGACGGCTGAGCTTTGATTCAGATGAGAGGCAGCCGTGGCCCTCGGGTGAAAAGCCCTCTGCTTTGAGCAAACGCCTCACCAACTGTTCCTTTTGTTGACACTTGTTTTTCTCAACAGCAGATTGTAGCAGCTTCTCCATCGGCCTCAGCAGGGACCATTGCACACTAGACTGCTGTGCTCCTGGCCTACGAGGCCGAGGACTGCAGCACGGTGTGAATAATCTTTCTCGGGCAGAGCTGAGCCTGGCTTCTTTAGAAGAAACTTCTAGGAGTGTCCTGAAGTCCACTTGCCCCTCTAATCCTTCGCTACCTCGCCTTCACACAAAGCCCGACATCTGAGGAACAGGCCAGGGCAGGTGAGGGCCAATTCGGCAGCCCCTTCCCTGGTTCCCTGTCCCCTAAGATGGTGGGACAGTGATCTCCCAGAGGCCTGGGGCGCTCAGGCCACATCCCTGAAACCCTGGAGCAGTGGCAGGGGGTCTGTGCCACAGTGTCCTCCGGGCAGGGCCAGGGGTCCTGCAAGGGCATGAGCCCCCTCCAAGCCCCCTGTCGGCTCTCCACGAAACAGCAGCTCTTGCAGGCGGGGCTTCCATGGGCTTCTCCCCTGCGGTGGGTGGAGGGCTGAAAGCCGGAGCATCCCCCTGGCCAGGCCCTCTCTGGCTGTAATTCTAAATGAGCTGCTTGCTGGATGAAGGCCCCAGTTAGCTAGAGCTATGTGGGCATGCCTTCTAACGCACCCCAGGCCATCTGCCAGTGTCAGGTGTGACCGCTCAGGCCAGAGACCAGATGTTTGGGCATGGGGCAGCACCTGGCACGCAGAAGCTGTCACAGGGAGACCCTCAGGCTGTGCAGGACGAGTGCAGGGCTCTGGGAGCCTCGACACAAAAAGGATGAACAAACGAAAGGTGTTTCTGCGACTGCACCTAGTCCGTAAGGTGATAGGCAGAATCAGGTAAATATCTCGGTGGACAAATCTCATTTTGTTTGGGTGTCGGTGTCCCTGGCAGTGCTGATGAGAGATTGGACACGAAACAGTGAGAACTCTGCAGTCCCTGGGCCCTTCCTGTCCCTGAATCAAGAAAGACAACTGGAATAGTAACAAGTGCCAGCTCAGTTCCAAACCAGGACAGTGGACAGAAGGACCCACGAGGCAGTCTCCTGAGCAGGGCCCTTGCGCAGACATCTCCTCCCCCATCCCCACCGCTGTCCACTTACAGCAGGTGACCCCAAGGAATCCCGAGGTTCAGACCCTGCAGACATTTGGTCCCCTGGGGCTGATTCTAAACCAGAGTCCAGCCCGCTGCCGACCGCACACCCAGACTCTAGACGAGGGGGCGCACAGGGCCGCTCCAGGCCACGGCAGGGAGGCCACCGCGTGGGCAAAGCCAGGGGAAGACGCCCAAGTCCGATGCCGTGGAGGGGACACCGGGCGGCAGCGACCATCACAGCGGCGTCTCCTCCTGCTCCAGCGCGTGCGGCGGCGCGTGGCACGACGGCTGCAGCGACGCGAGCTTGAGCAGCGCAGGG